TAGGTTATCATTCTAATGTTATAAAATTCATTGGGATAGTCATAACACTATCAATCTTGTAGACATTCTGTTTAGTTGAAAAAGGTCTTAGGTCTAGCTTCACTTTTAGCAGAATACAAGAAAATTAAAGTAGTGCCTCTAACAGATTTAAGTTCAAATAGAGTATAAACTTCATCCCAGACTGGTAAGATGCCTCCGCAGGAAAGGGGGCTTGCTGCCAAGTCTGATGACCTGAGTTTGATTCCCAGGACCCACATGGTAGAAAAAGAGAACTGACTTCGGAAATTTGTCCTCTGACCTCCACATGTACACTATGACGCAAGGCTAACTTCTTAGCATGGCTGTACCTCTACCTGTAAGTTTTGTCCTCAAGACCTTCCTGAGGTTGGCGCCTACCTGCTATTCAACACTCAGAGCAGCCTTTCCTACTCAACCTAAAGCAGCAGTTCTTGTCTGAGGCAAAGTCTAACAGCTGTGAGCCTCAGGGCGCCTTGGGTGAGCCTGAAATGCAGAGACAACGAGCATCCCAGCACCCCACTTCTGCTTGTGTTGAGTCTTCTGCTGACCTACTACTGCCTGAGGGTGGAACATGGGAGAAATAACGTGTATGATGTGATGAAAAAGAACCGGCTACCACCAGGAAGGAGCCTTTCCTAAGTCACCACCAAAAGTGATGAGCATGGTAAATGCAGAGGATTTAACACAAGCTCAGAGAACTGACTCTGTCTGTAGAGACTCCTTAATTTTGTAAGCATATGCTCTGGATCAGAAAGCAGAAGTTATCAAGAAAAAAATCAGATGCAAATGTCAGCTCCTAGAGTCTTGAAGCCTGGTCTGCCCACAGCATAATATGCAAATCACTCAAATGATGCTTACTCACCAGGAAGCCAAGTGGGTGAATACAGGAGACCTAGGCTCTGCCTTTCCAAGGATGGAATTATAGGCATGTACAGCTGAGAAGCCACTATTTTTCATTTTATTTTATGTGTACAGATATTTTGCCTTCATGGACATCTGTGCACCACGTGCATGCCTGGTGCTCTCCAAGGCAAAAAAAGGGTATTGGATCTCCTAGAACTGGAGTTACCAACAGTTATGAGCCATTGTCTGGAGACTGGAAATCAGACTTGGGTCCTCTGGAAGAGCAGGCAGTGACCTTAACTACTGATCTGCCTCTCCAACCCTAAGAAGCCATTCTGAAAAGACCTCTACTAAGTCAGCAGCAGTGAAACCAGAGGCAAGCATCCCTCTCTCTGTAATTGTATCAAATATATTTTCAGTTCACTCTGGAAATCCATAGCAAGTGTCATCAGGCCTGGGGACTGCACAGAAACAGGTCTCACACCAATTCCAAAAGAGAGACTACATACTACATTTGTTCTTTTGGTCCTTCAAAAATTATTCTAATTGAAGAGGAGACTGTTTTTAATTGGTTTATACTGTACTTCATATTGTCATATCCAATTAGCCTATAGCACCAGATGCTTAGGAAGCAGAGGGAGGGGACCACAAGTTCAAGGTCTATCTGAGATGAAGGTTAAGGCAAGCCTAGGCAGCTTTCTGAAATTCAATCTCAAAAACAGAAAGGACAAAAGAAGGGAAGGCCAGAACATGGCTGAGTGGCTGAGTACGTGCCTAGCAAGTCCTAGTATGTCCTAGGTTCAGTTCCCGATGTCACAAAAGCAGGAATGACAAAGACAACGTATGAGATTTACAAGATGCAATGAAAAGACAGAGAAAAGGGAGAAGTTATTTAAGATACAGAAAATGTATTTGATAAAATTATAAGAGATATTTCCCATATATGGGGAAGAGATGGCTACCCAGATACAGGAAGTATTCAGAAACCAAGACAAACAGACAAGACCATGTGTGCTACAGTTCAAAATCATATTTACGAAAAAAAGAGAGTATTGAGGATCATAGGGGAAAATATCAAATCACATACAAAGGCAAATCCATTTGAATAACAGCAGATTTCCTCACTGAAAAAGCTAAAGGCCAGAAGGAAGGAATGGTCCATTTCAAGCTCTAAAAAACAATGGCCAACAATGGCCAACCTAGATTACTATATCCAGCAGAACTATTCTTCACAATTGGAAAGGGGGAAAAAAGCTTCCATGATGTGCTGGAGAGATGGCTCAGCGGTTAAGAGCATTGACTGCTCTTCCAGAGGTCCTGAATTCAATTCTCAGCAACCTCATGGTGGCTCACAACCATCTGTAATGGGATCCGATGCCCTCTTCTGGCGTGTCTGAAGATAGCAATAGTAGCTACTGGAAGGAATCCTACACACTGAAGAAGAAAAATAGCATTCATGAGACAGACATAGGGAACAATGAACTATACTGAAGCAGTAAGCAAGCAAATATAAGGAAAATATCAAACATAAAATCAACAAAATATCCGGGTAGTGGTGGCGCACGCCTTTAATCCTAACACTCAGGAGGCAGAGGCAGGCAAATCTTTCAGTCTAAGGCCAGCTTGGTCTACAAAGTGAGTTCCAGGACAATCAGAGCTTCACAGAAACCCTGTCTTGGAAAATGAAAGCAAAACAAATGAGTGCTGCTGAGAAAAGCCAGGAGACTGTTGTTGAGAAGTATGCCCAGTGCCACACTGTGGGCAAGGGTGGCAAGCACACACATGGCTAGACAAGTTTGCATGCTCTGTTTGGGTAGAAGGCTCCTCCAGCCAGTGCTTCTTTTACACAGTCGCCAACAAGAACAAAAGGGTCATCTGTTGCTCTATAGGGAACTGGTTACTCAGAAACAAGAAAAGCGCTGTGCTTGAGAAAGTTATTTTCTAAAATACAATGCATTGTAGCACAATCAAATTGTGCACATTATCAAAGCAACATTTCCCTGGAATTTAAGTTTGTAACACCCAGTCTCATCCTTTTTACCTACTTTTAAAAATGTTTATATCTCACTATGTGACCATATTTATAGAATTCTGGAATGTGTTGCTTGAACTGCATAAAGTTTTACAAAGAAGTGGAAATATTTGTTGTACTTTTTATTAAATTCTATAGATTTTAGAATAGATTATAAATTTATTTTTATTAAATATTTTGTAGTACGAAAAGAGGAAGAAATTCCTAGAATCGAATGAAAATACAACACACTAAAGCATAAGGACGTGACACACGCAGCCCCAAGCGGGAAGCTCCGGCTGCAGAGCCAACACGCTGACGCCGTTGCTTTGATCCCCAGGTTAACATCACTGGCACTCTCTGAGGTAAACAGAGTCAGATATAAATTATGCCATTTACTTTACACGGTAGATAATTTTCAGATTCAACTATTTTGGTCTGTGTGTCAAAGCTTCTTTCCTTTGAGTGCATGGCTTGTAAACTATTGTAATAAAATCAAAAAGGCACATTATAATCTTAGTTCAAGTATTAGGGAAATATTAGGTTAAAGAAATGGTATAATAATTTCCTAAGATTCTTCCAATAGATATATATGTTCTCATATCCTGAGCACATATTAAGTACTTAAAGACAACAACATGTAGACTCCTCCTGACAGGCTCCACATCTGAAGATTTAACCATTCACAACATAAAAATACTCACACAAAATATCTGTATCTACCATGTACTGACTTTATTTTGTCATTATTCAGCATAACAACTTACATAGAATTTACATTGTTTTAGGAATTATAAGTAATCTAGAATTATAAAAGAGGATATACGTAAGTTACATGAAAATACTACACAATTTTATGAAAAGGCGCTGAGCATGGTTTGGTATGTGTGCAGGGACATCCTAAAAGCAATCTTCTTAGAGACACAGATGGATGTGTACACTCACTACTGCCAGAATAAAAGGTAATTGGCCTATGCATATACCAAAAAACTCCAAGTCTACCTGTTACTCTTTACTTTTTCTCTCATTACACTTTGTTTACTTCACACTGGAGGAAGAGCAGGCACATTTCTAGAGAGCATCATGATTGACTGGCTAGACTTCACAATCAAATAAACCTAAGCCCACTGCTACAATTAACACTGTTCTAAACTAAATGAATAAAAGGCATTCTAATTTTCTTAATTAACAAAAAGCCTCTAATTAAAGTCAGTATGGAATTACATTGGAAAAAAAAAAACCCTAAAGAACAGCATATGTGAAGAGACCAGCTAGCTAAAGGGACTGTGCTAAGCATTGAGAAAGGAAATACATTTCTAGTAGAGGATATAATCAAAGCACTTATTTGATTATTTTTAAAAAAAAAAAAAAAAGAATGTGATTAACTCAGTGGTCTGGATAGTCTCTAATTACCAGTTTCTTTCTCCTCTTCCCCACTCAAAAACATAAGCCAGGTCACCTGAAGTCTAACTTAGCAGGCATCTGGAGCAGGAGCCAGATAGCTTTAAGAAAAACCGCACAGACATTAAAACCACCTGTTATAATGACTAGAGACTCCAAAGGTAAGCTGCACTGGTTCATGAATAATCAAGATCCAATTAAAAAATTGTTTGTGAGCTTAAGTTCAGAGATGGCACACCTGGTCTCTAGGAACAATACATTTGATACAGTTAACAGATTAGGATGGGGGTGGGGTGGGGGGGGTAAGGGGATAACATCTGAACTGTAAATAAAATATCCAATAAAAAAAATTAAGAAATAAAAGAGAGAGAGATTAGGATTTATCACCTCTCATACCAGAACAACTACACAGATAACAGGGTAGGAAAGGTTAGCTCTGCACTGGCTAACCTCGGCTCCTGCTCTTTGTGTCTCTACCATTGCCTGGGAGACTGCAATCACAACTGTCCGAATCTGCCCTTTTGAGAGAACTTAAAGGACCCTGTGGCTGCTTTTTAGACTCTGTCTATAACTGAAAACATCAAAATTTTCACATGATTCTACCTCTAAAAGTGATTTTAGGATTACCTCTGCAAACACTGTTAAATAAAAGTAAAATAAGTATATGGATTAAAAAAGAAGCAATGAAAATACATAGTTTATAAAGGGAAATTGAAGTTGGACCCACCTGTCCACTTTTCCCAAATTCCAGCTCTATTATAGCAACAGGGTTGTGTATTTGAGCTGAGTGCCGTGACTGAGACTTGCCATCAACTCTCCAGCTCAGTCCCCGAAGTCCGTTGTCCCAGCGGCTCTGGTTCATAAGGCTCTCTCGGATTTTTGTCTTGTGGCTCTTCCAAAACTTGGAGATGACTGCAGCTTGCTCACTGGTGATGCCACCTTGCTTTTTGGTTTGAGCTGTCAGGAATGCCTCTAACTGGTTGAAATCCATGTCTGCAGATGCAATAGACTATAAAGATAAAAGAAAAAGCAACATATTTGAACTTTGTAGATAATTAGAGAAAGCTAGCAGCCTAGCTACAGAAAATATTTTGATTGAACTTAATTGCTGAATATGCTTTCAAAAAGGGCCATTGAGTGCTTTGGTGGCTAGAATAGGTATGGTCCCCATAGATTCATGTATTTGAATCTTTGGCCCATAAGAATGAGACACTAAGGAGGTATGGCCTTGTTAGAGGAACTGTGTCACTCTGGGGGCAGGTTTTGAAGTCTCCTATGCTCAAGCTACACCCAGTGTGGCACGCAGTCTCCTTTGGTTGCCTGTGGATCAAGATGTAGAACTCTTGGCTCCTCCAGCACCATGCTTCCTGCCATGATTATAGTGGACTAAACCCCTGAACCTGTAAGCCAGCCCCAATTAAATGTTGTCCTTTATAAGAGTTGCCTTTGTCATACAGTCTCTTCATAGCAATGGAACCCTAGTGAAGACAAGTGACAAGACAAAATGAGCGATGATTATAAGGACAAATGCAAAAATACTCCCCTTTCAAATACCAGAAATTCTCTATAAAAAGCTAGAATATAACTTTAAATATCCAGTTTCAGGGACTGGAGAGATGGCTTAAAGATTAACAGTACTTGCTGTTCTTGCCAAGGCTCAGATTCAGTTCCCAGCATGTACATGGCAGCTCATAACTGTCCGTAACTCCAGATCTGGTGCCCCTTCTGACCTCCCCAGGCACCAGCATGCACAGGATGCACATAAATATACACAGGCAAATACAAATACATATAAAATAAATAAACCCAAGGTTTTAAATATATAGCTTCATATGGAGAAATAAAAATTATTCTAAACAATGAAACAAAAAAATTCAAAACTACAGTTCTCTGATAAAATCTTACATAATTCCTTATCAATAGGCCTGGTCTGACATGCCACTGTGGCACCATGAGCTGTCCATTAGAAGTACTGAGGCAGTGCTGTTAAATGGATGTCACTTCAGCTCTGCAGCCTGTCTCAATCGTGTAGCTCAGTACCACTGCTACTCTGACACTGTATACTAACTTACACTTTACTTACTTGCCATTGAAGCTGGGTTCTCCACTCTAGCATTCAAGAAAACACGGTAACTAATTGATTGATATTTTCTCAACACTGACACAATCTCCAGTCATCTAGGGAACCACAACTGAATTGAGAAAATGTCTCCATCAGATTGGCCTGTGGGCAGCCTGTGGGATAGTTTTCTTGACTGATGATAGACATAGGTGGGGTGGGGTGGGGTGGGGTGGGGTGGGGGGGGGTGGCCCCAGCCCCCAGCCTACTTGCAGAGTTCAACCCCTGAGTTGTCTCTCAGGGTCCTGGGTTGTCTAAGAAAGCAACTGGGTAAGTCAGGAGGAGAAGCCAGTAAGTGGCATTCCTCCATGGTCTCTGCTTCAGTTCCTGTGTACCTTGGCTTCCTTCCGTCCACTGATGACAGACTGAAACCTGCAAGCCAAATACACCCTTTCCTCCCTAGGTTTCTTACAGCCATGGTGTTTTGTCACAGCAACAGAAGCCAAACTAAGACACTAATTATATTAATTGTAAAATAAAGTATCTTAAGATTGCAGAGTCCTCTATGCTCAAAGAATTTTCACATCTATCAGTGCTTTCTAAAATTTATTTATTTTATGTATGTGAGTACACTGTTGCTCCCCCTTCAGACACACCAGAGGACATCAGATTCTGTTACAGATGGTTGTGAGCCATCATGTGGTTGCCTGGAATTGAACTCAGGACCTTTGGAAGAGCAGTCAGTTCTCTTAACTGCTGAGCCATCTCTCCAGCCCCCTATCACTTCTTTTCATTCATAAATTTTCATCGATTCTTTGTGAATTTCACATCATGCATCCCAATCACACTCATTCCCCAGTCCTTCCATACATAGCCTCCATCCTTGTAACCTTCCCCACAAAACAAAACAACTTGCCATGGAAGCTGCAGTGTGTCATGGTGTGTCACAAGTACACTCTTTTGTCCACACATCTTTACTTTCAAATGTTCATTGCAATGAGTCATTGGTCTGGTTTGAGGCCTCTGGCTTCTGCTATACAAATACTAGAATGTCACCAAGACATATAGTATATTCTGCTTCTGTCCTGAGTTACGGAGATCCTACAGCTTTGGTTCTGCAGGACCAGCCCCTTCACACAGTCCAGCAGCTCATAGATAGGGTAGATGCTGGGGTGGGCCAGCTCAAAGCCCTGGATCTGGGCCTAGGTGGTAGCTAAATTGATCAGCCTGACAGCTCTCCCACGCCCACACCACCAGAGCTGACTCTCCTGCTGGCCAGACAAGGCTTAGGGCCAGCTCTTCCATGCTCACTGGGGCCAGCTATCCAGAGCCAGCTCTCCCACGTTGCCCAGGCAAGGGGCAGGGGCAGGGCCAGCTTTCCCATGTGGGCAGGGCGCCACTGTGTGGTGGCAGATCAACATGACCTCAAGAGGCATGTCTTTGGTATTGTGGTCTTTGGTGGTAACACAGGCCATGACATCAACACAGACCCCTGCTGTGGCAGTGCCACAGATCCAGACATGACCCTGAGCAGGCAGCACAGGCTGAGACATCACCATGGCCTCAGGTGGCAGTGCAGGCCTCTCTCACATCAGGCTGTTCCTCATGCTAGCCTGTCTCCAGTTCTCTCTTCATAGTCACAAACTTCTTACCTTCTCTGTCTCTCCCATCTCTGCAACTACATACTTGCTCCTTGCAATGGCACCCATTGGGACCACACCGCCCAGGCTCTGTGGCCCGTGGCTGTCTTCAATCCAGCCCATGATGTACAGCTCAGACATCTATTACTTCTACTGAAACTCATCTTCTATTTTCCACTTCACAGACACCATGGTAGCAGAAACACTAAGTTTTACAGAAAACCACCATAAAAACTTTCCATAAAGACCAGCGAGCCAAAGAGTCCTAACTGTTGCGCCATGTTTCTCTGGTTGGTTGTCATAAGTGACTGCACACAGATACAGATACTGGCATCACTACTGCTGATGCTGATTAAAAAGTCAAACTGATTCTTTCTACTATCAATAATATAAAAAAGTCACCACCTAAGGATTAGCTACAAAGCTTTGTTCATATCCCTTGGAGAGTAAGTTTCATCTTTTAAAGATTTAGCTGTTTCAAGTGAGAAATATGCATTGTTAGAAGTCAGCCAACACAGGGCGGTGGTGGCACACGCCTTTAATCCCAGCACTTGGGAGGCAGAGGCAGGCGGATTTCTGAGTTCGAGGCCAGTCTGGTCCACAGAGTGAGTTCCAGGACAGTCAGGGCTACACAGAGAAACCCTGTCTCGGAAAAAAAAAAAAAAGAAGAAGTCAGCCAACTAGTTTAGTTTAATAATTTGCAGGAAAGTTGAAAAGGTGGTGTAGGTCAAACCACAGTGTGCCAAAACTCACAACACTGTTATCCACAGGCAACAAGGAGCCACCAAATGCTGGACATGTGGATAATTACGATGCAAAGCTAAATCTGAACACAGAAAACTAAATCTGAGGACAGAAGCAGCTGAGGTGAAGTGGGAATCCCTGAAGATTTCTTCCACACGCTGCTGTGCTCCCTTGGCCAGAGGCTGCTGGCAAGTACACCAAACTAGACAAGTTAGAGCACCTTCTGCTCTCTGTGAGCTAGGGTGGTCTAAGCCAACTTCCCACTTAGACAGGGGATAACAGTCTTGACTTTGGAGATCACCGTGTCAAAACAATGTGAGACTGGGAATGTGGACAGCGGAGTTCTTCAATTTTTGACACAAAGTTAGAAAGGGGAGGAGTAGAGAGATATATGGAAAGAAGAGTAGGGGTAGAAAGAAGAACATGAGCCCGGAAGACATGCCAGGTGCTCTCAGGACTGATATCTCTGCTCTATCACAGTCCCCAGGGCCCTGGTTCCTGTAGGTCTTCTTTCAGTTGGATAGGCTCTCTCAGCAACCTTCCAACTGCATGCACCAAAACATTCCATTACTTTTCTGTTACTTTGATTAAACACCATGACCAAAAGCAATTTATAAAAGGAAAAATTTGTTTCAGCTTATGGCTTGAGGGAAAACAGTCTATTGTGACTGGGAGATAGATCAATCAGCAGGAGCAAAAGGATGAAAGATAGCATCTCATTCGTAAGTACAAGGTACAGAATGTGAACTGGAAGTAAGGCAAAGCTACATACTCTCATAGCCTACCTCCAGCAACATGCTTCCTCCTGGAAAACTGCACCTCCTAAACCTTTCCAAATAGTACCACCAACTGGGTACATTTCTCATCCACACCACAGCTATTCAGGTAATTTATACCACAGTCCTATCAGTTGGACCCATAAGCTATCACTAAAATAGAGCACAAGCAGTGACAGCAAATGAGTGCAAAGGTAGGTAGTGCACAGGCTGAGACTGGCTACAGTCGCACAGGCAGGGGACAGCTATAGACTCGCAGGCAGGGGACAGCTAGAGATGTACTGTTTTTGATGTCTCTATTAACATAAAAATTGTGTGAAAGGGCTGGTGAGATAATTCAGTGGTAAAGAGCACTGGCTGTTCTTCTAGAGGTTCTGAGTTCAATTCCCAGCAACCATGTGGTGGATCATTATGATCTATGAAAGTATCTGATGCCATCTTCTGGGATGCAAATATATATGCAGATAAAGCATTCATACATTTTTTAAAAAGTAAAAAAATAAAAAGATAAAATAAAAATTCACTTCTAAAAAATTGTGTGGCAAACACCCAAACTTCCTGATAGATTATGTTTTACATTACACTTGAACACATTTACTGTCTATTTGCCATGTAATACATCCAAAATCTCTAGCTGGGACTCCCAATAGAAGTATTACTTTAAAGACTAGCCTGGTGGCTCATGACTATAATCTCAGCATTCAGGACGTAAAGTCAGGAGAATAGCCAAGACTAAATCTGGTCTGTTTATGCAAGTTCTAGGACAGGTAGAGCCACATGGCAAGTCCTC